CAACACTAATAAAAATTGACAAGCAGAAGCAACAGCAATAACCCGCAACAATATCCAATTTTAAGCAATTTTCATGGGGCGAGAAATTCAATAATAAGCAGCAACAGCAGAGCAAAAGCAATAATCGTGCTAAGCACTTAACACACCACGTGATACGAATTTCAACAAGGGGAAATAAATCGTGTATGTTAAAGCTTCAATAAATAAATTTTTTTTTCAATGAAAAGTTCAACATCAATGAAGAAGAATTGTTAACTTAAGACTGTCTCGTCCTGTCATGAGACATTTTTGAAACTTATCATAAGTAAAGTTATTAATGAGACAGTAAATGTTGATGAAAAGCACATAATGAATAGCTTGAAATTATGTTTCGCATGTCTGTATAATCTACGGAGGTGATATACATATCTCTCAGTACAATAAAGCTATTGCAAGATTGTATGCACGAGGAGGGTATTTAAATGATAAGTTAACCGAGAGAAGAAGAAGTAGAAAAATTAATTTGTATCATAAACTAACCGCAACGGTAGCAATGGAATTGAGATTAAAATGGTCGAGAAATTGCAGCTGGTTGATTGGTCGATGAGCTTCTTAAAGTGCAATGTCAGTTCTAGGTTAGGTGTGACAATGTTGCAAATGCAAAGTTACTTAAAGCTCAACGTGATCTCAGACAAAGTCAAGGCAGTAGGAGTCAAAATTCCTAAGATCCTCAAAATCTCAGCTTTACCAAGCTTAAACCATCAATTATCCACAAAAATAAATAAAACATACTCCATAAAATCCACGACTCCAATTCCCAATTAAACATATTTTTTAACTGCACAACCTGATCGTAAAACTGCCGTATTCTCAAAAAGTAAATCCGTTAAAAAGTGCACATATTAATTTATAGCGATTTTGATTTTGGACTTTTAAAAAAATTGTTCATTTACTTCATTTCTCTTTCACAGTTTGCTGACCGCATATATGATGCACTCTGTGTGTGTTTTTATTTTAAATTCCAAGAAAAAAAGAGAGCATTTTAATCATTACGCAAAAATAAAATATGAAAAGAAACGGTTATGCATGTTTTTTGCGTTATTTTGTTGCTGCCATTAGATTGCTTGGTACTGGAACATAAAAATTAATTGCCGACCATGTCATTAAAGCGATATTGCTGGACATTGGATAAATATATTGCAAATGTGTATCTATATGCGTTATGAACTCGTTTCACGCACTGTAAGAAAAGTATCGTAAGGTAGGGGGGGGGGGGGGTCGTGCGTAAGTTATGGAACTTATAATTTTGTTTTTAATCCATAGCCTTGGATGTTTTAAGATAGGAGGGATGGGTTGCCCTAAAGACTACTCAGTAGCTGTAGGAAGCTGTAGCTCAGTAGGAACCAGTATCTAGTAATTAGTAACTAGGAGCTAGGAGCTAGTAATTAGTAACTAGTCGCTAGTAGCCAGTAATTAGTAACTAGCTAGTAACTGATAGCTAGTATCTAGCAGCTAGTAACTAAGATTTTCTACTAGACTGCATAATACTATATTTGTAAGACGTCATTTACAGACGATTCCTTTAGGCAATTTTGCTGATTTACTTCTCTTCTTATAGTTGCTCCGTCCTATTCACACTCGGTTAACTATGAAATATTTATTACAATTATTTACCATTTTAAAGTATTAAATTAACGACTTGAAAATAATATAAACAACATTTTAATGTTCGTGCATAAATTAAGTATGCAAAAAATGTCTCAAAGTGTCTAGCGACATTTTTTTTTATTTATTCAATCTGAGAGCCTCTTTTTCGTATGATTCAACTTAATTTTGTAATACTCGACTCAAGACTTGTATGTTGACTGAATCATTAGATGAATATAATATGTAAATTACACGATTCATCCATATCGCACAAGAAGTTTTCGCAAGCCTGAATTAGAAAAAAAAAACATGTGACTGCTGTACTATAAAAATAAATATTAAAAGAGAGAGCAGGCAAAAAAATAGAAATTCTCGCTTATTTAATTTAATTTAATTTATTTTAATTGAAATTTTTTAATTCTAATGAGATAAGCCTGGCGTCATTGCTAGTGAGGTATGGCTTAATACGGAGAAATGGATTCAACCACAGCAGAAATTATTTCCATGAGGATATAAAATTAAATTTCTCATATTCGAAGCTATATGAGCTGGGTACAAGTTAGAAAGTCACTGGAAAGTTATGGCTAGAGCGCATTTATTTCATTTTATAAGCAAGGATCCCTTAAAAGTCAAGAATATTAAATCAAATCCCCAAAATGCCATAAAACCACACAATCCTTTTAGAATAATGAGCTTATAAAATTAACATATGATTACGATGAACGTGAGGAATGGCCGTAATCGTATTTGTTCAAGCACTCATCATGAACATGAAATTCCCCAGCAATTTTTATTTTATTTTTATTAATTTTAAGAAAAAACTTATTTTCTGTGAAAAACTCTAAACGTGATTTCATACACAAATACACACACACACACACACGTCTCGTAGTTTTATTAGAAATGAGATGAAATATGTGTGTAGATATCAGAATAAAAGTTGTGCAAATATTTTTTACAAGTCACAAATGACAAATGCTGTACGCAGTTGAAATATATAAAAATGTAAGAAAGAGAAATATTCGAAATTCGAGGGAAGAAAGTTTCAAAACTTTTCATTTTGCTTCTTATTTTTTGTCGTGAAATCTAATTTAAAGTAAGAAGATAAAGAAACGAGCACGAGGAAGGTGTGTAATGTTCATTGAAAGCAAGAAATTTGGCGCATTTTTGGGGCAATTGAGAGCTTTCTTTGATTATTTTTTTTTCTAAATTGTGTACAATAGTGATTAAAGGGAGTAAAACTACGTTTTTGGAATTTAAGGGGTGTGAAACTATTTTTTTTCTGAATCCAAAATATGTGAAACTATGATTTTTGTAATTAAATGGGTGTTAAACTACGTTTTGCGAATAAAAAGGGTGTAAAACTAAGATTTGCTGAAATAAAAGGGTGTAAAACTACGTTTTTCTGACATTAAAGGGTGTTAAACTACGTTTTTTGAAACTACGAATTTTCATACTAAAGTAGTAGGGGTATGAAATTAATATTATTTATAATTATAGGGGTTCAAAACTGTGAAACTTAAAAAATCAAAGGGGTAGACAACTATGAAATATTGATTTTATCAAAGTCATCTTCTAAAGCTCGTCATCATTAACCCAAAATCAACTCTTCTCTAAATCCTCGCAAAAATCAACTAAATCTCTAGCTCAAAGACGTCTACAGCTGCTAATTCATTACTTACAATGAATTTATTTGCGGGTTTTTTTTCTGTTTTTATTTTTTTTTTATTTTGAGGCCATGCGTTCGTTTAACTATTAAAACCAGATTAAAGTCAGTTGCAGGGATTTCAGCTTAACGTTTCTGAAAAGCTGTATGTGAAATATATAAAATTCTTATCTATCTCATTATTCTCGTCTCATTGTTAGTGATATCTGTGCTCCACTCCGACTCGCCTCGATATTTATTTTTAGAATATCATTCACATACATAGGATTTATCTTGAGACTATGCTTAACTGCATGTGTCATTTTTTAAAAGTTTTGCTTTTGGCCTTCATTTGTGGCAATTGCTCACTGTGCATATTCGTGTTGCACATCGTAAAAGTAGCTAGAGCAGCAGCTACATAAAGCTATTTTATATCATATCGGACTGTAGCTTAATTTACATGGAAATAGCGTTGTTTTTTTATTTTTATTAAAAAAATATTAAATTATCATTATAATCATAAAAATATATATTAAAAGAAGTAGAAATTAGCATTTAGATGCATCAAGAAATAAATAAAGTGTGAATCCTCGATGGTGGTCATAAAAAAAGAAGTTGAATGGTGGCCTATTTGCATCCTATAATGCAATGCGAAACGATAATAACGAAGAAATAATTGCAAAATGCGTGGGATGAAAAATAAATTTATTTTTATATTTTTTTTATCTTCAGCTTTAATATCACTGACTCCAGCTACAAATTTATCATCATCATTCATTGGTGCTCCTTTGTTATTATTGCTCTTATCTCGTCTCGTACAGTACGACAATGTGTGGGCGAAAATGTTTTTCAGTGGAAAGGATTTAATACGTGAATTGTCAATTTGACTGGCTTATACTTACAAATGAATGGATTGAGTACATTTTGGATTGCATACTTACAGTATGGATGTACCATATGAATTAGACTAAGTTGTAGTCTTTGTCCTGACCCAAACCAATAAACAAACCCTGAACCAATGAAGATTAAGCCATTAAATTGCACTCTATCCTCATCATCCCAATAAACGCAATTCTTACTCAATTCTTACGAATCTAAAGGAACGTCAAGATCACATAACAAAGAAATGTTGAGGCAGAATGTGCAATATAGTCAGTCAGTCATCCATCCAACCAATTACAATTTTTCATCATTCTTTTTTTATGTCTTCTTCTCAACATTGAGTGACTGAAAACTTTTATTTATTTTTTTGTTGTGCTGCAACAATTTTTATCCTTTTTTGGCATGTGTCTTTTGTTATTGCTATTGCATGACATGCTTGCATATAAGCTTCATTTTTTCATCTCTCTTATAGTTTTTTTTTTATGGTAAAAACAGCAGAAATGATTTATTTCTTTTAAGTTCTCGTTCGCTTTGCTCTGTAGTGTGTCTCTTCTACCTGCATACCATCTCTTATTTATTTATCTCAACCATGCCATTATGCAGAAAGAGAAAAAATAAAATTAATTTAAAAAAAATAAATTTCGCAAGAATCTCCTCTGCCATCTTAAAATGCTTTGCCTGCTTTCTTGCTCCTCCATCCACACACCACAGAGAGTGTGGCTGGAATGTCACTTATTAACTCGATACGATGCTCACAACTCACATGACCACTTTTTTTTGTTCTTATCTTTACATTCTTTTCAACAAAAATAAAATAAAATTATTTATATGCTGATTTGGATTCTAAATGACTAACACTGTTGCCACTGATACTAATGCTGCCTGTGATGCTGTCAAAGAATTATCTGCTGCGCAATTTATCTCATCGGATGTCGATATTTTTTTCATCTTCTCATCTTCGCTTTGTATACATGTGCTTAAATGGCTAACAACAAATAATAATAATATTTTTCTGAATAAAAATATAGGAACGTTCCGAAAAATTCCCAGAAATGGAGAGAACTCAAGTGATATACACGCACATACGGAGAATATTTATGACGAGTTATTAGCTGGTTTAGAATACTTTAAAGCTGTATTTGAATATTTTATTGATTTATTAATGGATGATGACGGGATTCTGGGGAAAACTTGTAAGTAGCTAGGGCTATACTGCCTAAATTATGCTCTTTCTAGATGGCTTGAAATGTCATTTATAAAATATTATCAAAACTTATGTTATGAAAATCCAATTTCCAAATGAAATTTACCTTTTCATCTCATCATAAACATGAAAGCTTGTCTGAAGCCACAAAAAAAATCTGCTTTTCCGAGAAATCATTAAAATTATTAAGATTTTGTTCAAATTTCCAACTTAAAATTCTGAATTCCTTCGAGCGCTTTTTTATTAAAAACATTACAAGCTAATTCAAAAGAAACCTCTAAACTCTTCCCATTTAATTCCTTAAGGAACTTATTCCTCTCATTATCGTATCATATGATTACCAAAGAATTTCAGACAGCATGTCACTCAAAGAAAAACACATTTTTACTCGTCTCGTTTGAAGATTCACAATATAAAGCAGTCGAAATACTTGAAGGAATTTGCTTTTATCCCATTTAAGCACTCAAAAGTATCACATATCATAAGAGCAACAGTAATATAGCATAGTCAATATGTTTGTTTATGTTTGCTTTGTTGCTGTGGAATCTTATGAAAGTGATACTGTTGATAGACGAAATGCAGTTGAAAATTTTTTGATTTGAAGAAATTTCGATTTGAAGATTTTTCCCGCCATTTTTGTTTTGTCACTTGGAAATTTAATTTTAGATTTTTGAAGCAAATAAACAATAAAATGAAACTTAAAGTGTTTGAATTGAGAGAAAAAAGTGGCAAGGAAGCTTTAATAGCATTGGTATGTGTAAATTTGGAGTTTAAGTTGGTTAATTTTCAGAATCTTTGATTACACTTAATTTAAAATTTGTTTTAAAAATTCGAAAGTTTAAATCTGAGATTTCGTTTAGTTCAATCTTATTAAACATTACAATCTTTTATCAGTTTACAAATCATTGGAATTTATTTTCAATCTTCCCATACAAATTGACCACTTTTTGGCTTTATTCGTGCAACTTTTCGGTTTCTTTGTTGTAAAAAATGTTGTTGTTAAACAAAGAAAATGTTCTGTATTGGCAATAAGTAGCATCACGAGATAACAAAACAATTTCTCTCAAAAATCCACTTGCCTTGCCATCTCTTTCCATTCTCAAAAGTGTAGCTATACATAAAATAAATATGAAAACATTCTTCTTTAATATTGTAAGCTTTGCTTTCTTTTTATTTCTACCGAATGAAATTTAATAAGACTTATAGAAGAAGAAAAAGTAAATTTCTCAACATTTTTTTTTGTTTTTGTTACTGCCATGCCACATTCTTTGTTCCAGCCAATACTTTATACTTCATTTCTGGAATTTCTTCTTTTCTTTCGCACTTCTTTGTGTATAACTGAACACAAGCCATGCAGATATTGGCATTGGAATGAAAAATAGCTTCATTTTTATTTCGAGGATTTAAAAGTCAGCAAGAATAGACCTGAGCAGCACAGTTTAATGAATGCTTTAATGTAAGAACTGTGTTCGAACCCTCGCAATCGCAGATTCACTTTTACATAGCTTGATAGCTAAGATACTGCTTTACTTTACTTAAAATCCTTTGTGCTGCTCGGTACTCAGTTAAAGATATTGAATGGCAATAGTAGCTGCAAAATCCTCTTTCTATGACTAGCCATTCTATATTTCTTAAACAGTGAGGGTAAGCACGGCATTCCATATGTCGATATTTATTCATATATATGCGGAATGTTTAATGTTCTATCCACATACGTACATTCTTTACATTCGCATGTTATAGGAAAGACGCGAATTAAATAATAATATAGAAAAAGAATTCAAAAACGCCACTCGCGTGAAGTTCAATGAAACTTCAAAACCATCTCCTCGTATTTTATGAATTTTTTTTTATTTCTATTTTCAAAAAATAAAAGCTAAGAAGCAGAAGAAATGAAAGGCGATGATTTTTTTTTAGTGGAAAAAGAATTGCTTCTCATCTATTTCGCGTATAAGTTTATTGCCTTTCGTATTCTTCTCCTTCTGCTGATTGAAAATTCTTCATGACTGCTTTAGAAGTGCTTAAGCATAGCCGAAAGAGAAAGGGAAATAAAAGAGATTTCGCTCTATGTGGTTGCTTTTTGATAAATTAAATGCTGAAATGTATCCAACTATTTGTTTGCACCACCGTGTTCTTAGCTGAGCAGCTCAAGTTCTTTATCTTTATCTTCGTACAATCAAATCGTAATAAATTTTTTTATGTTTCACATTCTCAATTTACATTATGGAGTAATCGTAAAAATATTAAAGGAATGTATGGAATCGATAAATGGATGAATTTAGCGCATTTTTATGGATGTGCAATATGACTTTTGTGGGAGATATAAAAATTTCTTCAAGTGGTTTAAAAGATAATTTGATGCTGGAGCCAGATTTGGTGACTGTGTTCGCTATGTGCAGTATGTGATTGCATTGATACTTGTAGAATTGATTCTGGTTTAAAAATCCGCTATAATTTTGAATTGTTTAACATCAGATATTCCCCTCATAGAAATAGGGGACTATCAACTTTAAATTTTGTAAAAAACAAAATTTTTCTCAATTTTTAACCATAAAGAAAAGATCGTTAATGGAGAAGAACGTCCACTTGAAAAACGTTCATTTCGAAATCAAATTTGTTTGACCGATTTTTACAAAACATGCGTTCATTTAGAATTTTCTAAATCTAAATCTAATTCTAAATAGAAAATTCTAAATGAACGCATGTTTTGTAAAAATCGGTCAAACAAATTTGATTTCGAAATGAACGTTTTTCAAGTGGACGTTCTTCTCCATTAACGTTCAAATATAAAATTTAAAAATTAAATGCTCGGAAAACCTTAAGACAATAATAATCTATCAGATTAAATTACAGTAAGATGTTCTCAAGCATCTTATCATTGCAATATTGAACATTTTCAGATCTTAAATTTCAAAAACTTAGAATTTTAAAAAAATAACCTCCAGAAAATTCAAATTTTGATAGCAACAAATCTTTTTGCATAGTTCTGCTTCAGTTTTTCACGGATGTTGTTCATGTTACACTTTTGAAACCGGTCCCTGACCTTCCATCGCTTCCTTATCACGACAAATCCTATAAATAGCCAATATTATCACCAATTTCCAGCATTTTCACACCTTAAAAAATTCTCCTAATCAACAAATGACTTCAAAGACAAGTCAAAAACACTCAAAAATGTGCTAAAACATTTTTCATTAAAAATATATGATTGATGTTTGTCAAATCACTAAAACAACATTCCAAATTAAAGAAAATAGCTTTAAAGGTGGTCGCGATTTTGTTTAAATAAATATTTCACCAGAATTTTAATGACTCGCTAATTCTCTGACTCACACAACCGCATTGAGAAAGAATTTTTACTCTCTTTTTATTTTGCGCTTTATCGGCATCTCGTATAACAACAATCTGGCTTGATGACGCTTGCTGAAAAGAAGAATTTTACATAAAGAGGCCGTTCACTTATTACGTTACGTAAAAAACCGACTTTTTTCACCCCCCCCCCCCCTTGTTACAACACACACCCCCCCCCCCCCCCCCTGAACGTTCATAATTCAAATTTTTTTCGTGAACTTTTTTTTAAAAGACAGACGACAGTTAGAACGTTACATTCTTCTTGACCCCCCCCCACCCCTATGTTACATTTTGTTACAATTTTTCAACCCCCCCCCCCCTCCCCCCTAAAATGCGAACGTAATAAGTGAACGGTCCCAAAGCTTACGTAAGAAAAAAATAATATTTGATTTTTTATCGACAAATTTTTTTTATATTCGAAAAAAAAGGTAGAGAAGCAAATTTTTCGCCTTGTTATCGTTCTTTTAAGTCGCGCGATCAATTTTTATAGTCGCCTCATTTATTGACACAGAATGTAAGTGTTTGTGGAGAAGAGAATATGGATAAAAAAGATTTAAAGGTTGAAATTTTTAATTTTAAACATGATGAAGAGCCCAAAAATGGAAATGAGAGGAATTTTAAGGCATTCATTAAAGAAGAAGTTTGAAATAATAAGACCAATTAAGGCGCATTCTTTAAAGATGAAAAAATAACTGTCAAAAAAAAATTTGAAAAATAACTGTCAAAAAATATTTAAATTAAGTCCATAGCTTTTGAAAAATGCGCAAAACTGAAGTTTTTAAAGTAGTAAATCCAATGATTTATTGCACTTTAGATTAGATTAACTGACTATTAATCAGCTGTTGAGAAAAATCATGTTAAATTTAAGAAACTCGACTCCCAAGTCATCATAACTCCTTTTTCATCTCTTATCTACCACCTTTTTTTTCTTGAATGAAAAATCGCACAGACAAAGGAAATTTATTGCAACTCTTAAGAGACTAACAGACAAACACAAGTCTTTGTTATAAAACAGCAGTAACTCACAATCAGCGTGCGCGTGTGTGTAAAATTCTCATTCACTTCATGTTCCTGCAAAAATAAAGTTTGGTCTTATCAGACATTTAAAGAAAAAGGCGTAAGAAACAAATTGAGGATGATTTACAATTTTGACATGAAAAGATTCTTGTTCTTTTTTTGGGGATGATTTATATCAGCATCGATGTGATTCACATGTTTGGCACCTTTTGAGAGCGAGAGCACTTGAATGTGGGGAGAAACAAGCATGTGGTAGACTAAATGGGTTCGCGTATCAGATTTCAGCATTTAACGATATTTATGTCATAAAAACAAGCTTTTAGGTATCTAATTTTGGATTTCTCAAGAACTTGACATGCAAAGCCGTTAAATGGTATTTCCCACAGAAACAAGATATAAGAGGTGATCAGAGCTGCTCTACTCATTAGTAATCATCATTTCACTCGATTCCCAATCCACAACTTCTATTAAGTCACGTAGAATATTACACAAAATTCAATTTCTCAATTACGAATCTCAATTTACCTCCAAAAATAAACGTTCATTGTTTTTCCAATGTCAAGAGCTATACCCATTCAATATACATATATATTGTAACGTAAGCCTTTTTAAACCACGAGCGTAGGTGA